ACTGTAGATTTTGACCAGGAATATGTAACAGCAATCAATCTTTGTTAGCTAACTGCATTTCAAGCTTACATCTACGGATTGAGAAATAGCAGACATCATTTTTGCACTATTGACGTGTTTATGAATGTTCTATTATAAATTCCCTTTGATCCAATGTAAAATGTCACATACGATTTTTAAACTGCTTTTCAGCGGACAGTCTCAAAATACTAAGCGGGTATTTTTATTTTTAATGCTCTAATTTTTGTGTAGTAACTTTCGATTTAAGCAATATTCATGGATGGGCCTAACAAAGCTGACTAATTATCGTGGCGCGGCATGTCGTAAAACAGTGCATATTGACGGAATATAGAGAGGCCGGCACACAGTGCTTAATGACATTAATCACATTGATTTATTGTGGTTCCGAGTTATTACAGGCCGGGCGCTAACTAGTGTGCGTGAGAGTATACAGCGTGGATACCTACTTGTGTCTGTGGGCGCATACTTCTTGTATAAATGTTACACGCAATAGATACAGCATGATATTTTCAGTATCGAAAAAACCATTCATACGCAAAGACTACTCTTTTTCTATAAACATTGTCCGAGACGACGATAACATTTACAAATAATAAAAATACTATTATTGTAACAATTTCAAGTACCTATATAATACAAAATTATATAAAACTTCACATGGAATTAAATTTTAAAGAAATTCACCCATTATAATTTAGTTAGTAATAAACTAAATATGAACATCCTGGCTAGTGTACCTTGCTTATGGATGTAGACGCGGGTGTGTGCGTGTACGGCATTAGGCAACAATTTACGCTGTTTGCGGCGTGTTAATATTGATTGGCTCGCTTTATTTCGACTAGTGCGAATCTATCCCTGAAACTAGCTCATCTCATGACTTTGCACAGAACATTAATAATCTATATAATGATGCCTGTACAAAAATATCGAAATACAAGCAAGCGTATTAGATAACTTACATTATAATTCTTATACAAACAAATGTAAAAACTGCCTTGTGTTAGTGTCTATAACCTCGATTATATATTAGTTTGTTCACACATATGAATGAATTTCTTTTCATTTTTAAAAGATAATGTAATAGGATCTCACAATAATTGACCTAATTTCTATACTGACCTAATATTTCCATTAAAATAGTATTACCGTCCATTTATATTCATAACAAGGATCAGTTTAAAAAAATATAAGAAACTTTGTACCACATTTAAAATTAAAATATTTCTCAATGGTGTCTATAGAACAAGAAAGCTTGCATATATTGGCGCTAGCAAGCTAACTAGAATATTTATAACAAACGCACAATTTTACCAACCAGTTTTCTAAATGTTTATATATCTTTAACGTGCTCTAGTTTAGTTTTTTATTATAATCTTTATCGGTATTACCGCTAATAAAAGGATTAGGTGCTGATTGCTGTATTTAATCTTAAAACTCCTTAAGTTATTTCCAGTCAAAGTTCCAATGAAAGAATTTCTTGGGTTATTTAAGATAAGATATCATGAAGATGCAGAATCTACTAATTCTGAAACCATTTCAATTTGCCAGCATGTAGGTATATAAACAACTTCCAATATAACACTACCTTCTACGATAGTAGCTTACGGTGTTATACAATTTATTACCCAAACTCCAGTTAAATTGCATCCTCACTCGATAGTACCTACAATTAATTTGTTCCAATAGTATTTTACTTCGCTTATATGGAATCCATAGAGCCGATGATATCAATAAATACTATTTGTGCAGATTCATTATCCAATTACGCGCGTGGAAAGACAAATTGAACTAGATAGTATTAAGATTATAATTACGGGTAAGATTCAATTGAGAAACGACAAGATTGCGGTTCTAAATTTCCCCCATGTATCCGCGTAGGTGGAATGCCAGCGTCACCGCAACCTACTTCATCCATGGGAACCGTGCTTGTTCGTATGGTTCCCCAATCGTGTTTACAATGTCATTTTACGTGTCGACCGCGATGACCACGTCTCGTAGTCGCGGCACTGCCCGCATATCAATAGCGACATTATAATTTCATAACGCACGCTTGTCAACGTAAATAATACGCAAAATTTATGTTACGAGGTTCTCACCGTTCGACAGAGGCGCAATGAATGCTTAATTAGTCATCATTAAGCATGAAACAGTCAGTGTTCTACTCATATTCATTTGAAGACGTGGATATAAATTCAATTAACCATTTAGTATCGAGTTGTTGGTTGAGTCAAAGTTCGTTGTGCCATCCATCTAAATATTACACGCAAATGTCCGACGTATGTTAATCTATTACTGATCAAATTGTCGATTAGAAGTTCAATATATATTGTAATTAGCTGTTTTGCCTCACGTACCATGCGCCTCCCATTCGTAAGCACCAGCTCCTAGTCGTGATCGAATTTTCATTTGAATAAATCCTAGCAATATTTATGGACAACATATAAGTAATTATAAAGAAATAATATGCCTGATTTCATTTAAAAATGCATCATTAGTTTCAGTATTACTTTCACAAGGAACTAAATAGAGATAAAGTGGACACAAATACTTAGAACATTCATGTAATTTCCCCATGGACAAAGAAAAAATTACATTTCCTTTATCGCAATATTATTTGGATTTGTTTTGCATACAGTTATCCCGCATATTTAAATGAATATTAGGTAACAATCAAGTCCTGTTGCATCTTTTAATACTACTTCAATTCCCTATCCCGCGAGAACTCGTTTCATTTTCTAGAACAAGTTGACGAAATAACACAGTATTTTGCAGTTGGAGATATACATATCTACATGTTCTATAATAGCTGCGTGTGTGTATGTCTTTAAATTACATTTAAACACATAAATGGGATATATTTTTGTAAGTCGTTTATAAAACCCTTTATTTTGATACCCCACTCGATAGGTTTTGAGGAAAAAAAGAATTTTAAAGTCATATAGTATAAAAATTGCCATTGTAATTTTTATAATTTTGATGTAACCAGTATCACTCTCACAATTAACACGAACTAACGAAACATTTCAAGCTAAAATCCATCTAGCCGTTTAGGGTACAGAGCGTGCTAAAGAAATATACACATATACATACACTCGAAAAAATATAACCCTCTTTCTGGCGCAGTTGGGTAATAAAAAGTAGCCTAACCATATCCTAAATTCCGCCAACATTATTTAAGTGAGTTAGTCTGAAACTAGTACCTAATAGGCAAACGGTAATAATTAGGCATTTATCATACTTTTAAAAATAATTCTACTCTTGAAAGTCTTTTGAGAATTACAGAAAGTTTTTCAGGTTGATTATGTATATTTAATAACAAAAATGAGGGGTTAATAAAGAGCAGGGCGCGAGCCCCATAATGATTAGACGTGTCCATTGTCGGTCATCATTAGCGTTGGATTACTCAAGCAATTAGCACCATACTTATTTTCTTATATCAAATTATATTTTGTTTTTATTAACTTATTATTTTCTACTTTGTAGTGTATTTGGTAACATATTTACGCGTACACATCCAGCTCAATTTATTCTTTAATTAATTACAATTAACTTTAACGGCCTTTCATATTGTTTTATAATAATACTAGCAATGCCCGCGGCTCCGCCCACGTTCAGATAACTAAAAACCAAATTCTTAGGTTTTACATATTAGTATACTCTTACATTGCAGTTTTTGTATTTTTTCTCAGAAATGAGACATTTTCCCGCGGTAAAAAGTATCCTATATGTTAACCCGAATAACCAGCTATCATTATACTAAATTTCATCGAAATCCTTCCAGTAGTTTTTCCGTGATGCGGTAACAGATAGACAGATAGACAAAAATTCTAAAAACTATAGATTTGGCCTCTGTATCGATAATAATGTTTATTTCAGTAAAATTTTCCAAAAAATATTTAATGTACAGTTTCGGCTTAGTTACAATTTTATTATATGTATAGATTACCCACGACATTTCTCTTCCAAATATGAATAGCACTGTCAACAAAATAATTAGTAAGTACATACTTAATAAGGCATTTCTTAATGAACCGAGTATCAACACCATAAAATAACACACAATGATCACCCGCTTAGACACTTGTAGGAATTCACCCTTATGTTTATGTAATAAGTCACTTAGAAAGAATTACTTAAAGTTAGTTTGGTGTTACTTTAGGCTTATTACTTTAGACTATTTAACCTTCCCCCCAACGTGCGTTGAACTTGTCGTGGTGGAAGAGCTCATTAGCACAGGAAGGTGGCCCACTCTGGTGAGTGGTGTACTATGCGGGTTGCTGCTGGTACTTCTCTGACGGCCAAGTGGACCGTTAGAGCAACTCCATGGTTGTTGTGATCTGCTGCGGCAGACCTGCCGTCGGGGCGTCGTGGTTGAGTTCGTAAGCGATCGACGCTCTATTAAGGCGGGGGAGGTTTTGTTAGGTTTTAGTGGATAGTACTAGCTTTTCTAGCCGGTGAGTCCCACATAACCACCTATATGTCTACAGGTGGTACATGCGTAAATGTATTTCCTATTATTAAAAAAAGGCTATATCATTCTATAGGCTATATTATTCTTCCGTGAATCAAACCACCAACATTCACTTCAAAACGACCTCCTATTATTCATCTTTTTTTTATATTTTTTATAGTTAAAATTCTTTCTTTGTTTTATATAACTTTTGCTAGCAATGTTTACCGAACACCAATATTTCTTTTATTGATCGACTCGTACTCACGATACAGGCTTTGCCTAGTTTGTGTACCTTTAGATATAAAATATATTGTTATCTGTAAAAAATCTATTGTAATATAAATTCTTAAGATATGTATATAATTTATATTGTTATAAATATAAATATGTTGGGACATTAACACACAGCACTATATAGTTCCATGGTAAGATACGAGGCTTGTGTTATGGATACGAGATAGTTGATACACTACACGTACATACATATATAACTGTAAATACATACATATCATAAATATAAACACCCATGACTGGAGTACAAACATTAGTGCTTATCACACAAATGAAAGCCTTCTGCGGGATTCGAATCCGCGACCGCTGGCACAGTAAGTAGGGTCACTACAAACTAAGCCAAACGTGTCGTCGATTATATGAACCTACTCCTAGAAAATTACTGGAAAAAATCTTTTTCAGTTACAGTGAATACGTTCATAAATACTAGACGCTACGACGGAAGTGGACTCATCCATCATCCGTCCTGGATAAAAACGCTCGTTAGAACAGACCCCCATCTCCCACCCCACCTGCTCTATTAATGTTACACTCAAGTACCTCTATTACGCCTGCCATTTATTATATCCATTTTCGCGAATTAGCAGATCTCGTATAATGATATTCCTTAATGGTTAATGGGTAAAGTAAATTGAATAGAGTAAGATGTGTATGCCTTTTAAGAATACTGCAATATTTACCTATTTAAATTATATTTTTAAGTTTGCGATTTTGAATGAGCAATTGTTTTTCTAATTAAATCATTTTTATTTAAAATAAAAAAAAAAACATAAAACTTACCACTAAGAAAGAGCACTTGGAGTAGGTCGCACACATTTTTGTCTATACTAGGATGGTGACATGGACTCCATAACCCTAAGCTCAAACTTCAAAAATAAATAATGTTTTCATAGAGTCGTAACACCGTAGAAAAACTTTGACATAAATCTAAAGCCTCTTGGGTGTCTTCAAGCAAACCGCTCCCTGACGCAGGACGACAACTCACTCTGAGATGTGAAAACTCGAAAAGCTTGTAAAAGTATGCCGCTGTTGCGTATTAAAATTATTATGAAACCACCGCACCGCGATAAGACGGGATGATACCGGCTTAACACCCCACGCCCACCCCCACTATCGCACTCCACTCGAATGCCTTTTCAGTATATCTACATGAAAAGTTGCGCTTGAGGTTTATGCATAAGTTTGTCTTTGAAAACTACAGTGTATATCTTAGACTAAGGGTACTTCAGTATATGTATAAATTTCTTGGTACAGTATCGTTATATACATACTTTAGTGGTATTGATTGCAAAACAAAATAAATTATAGGTTAATATTTTTTAATTACATAAAAATCTTTCACTCACCCATTATGAGCTACAGCAGTTCAAATAATCTGAAACAAAAGAAAATCTTAAAAAATTAAATTAAATTTATTTAGCAAGATAAACATAAACTGCTTTGCCAAATTCTTATTAAAATTCACATAAGGAAGTAGAGAACTTGAAACATTAACCAGACGAAGTTATTTCAACAATGTAAACGTCGTCGAGCAACTTTATGCAGAAGCTGCAATGGTAGGTATGTCGAACGACAATTATAACTTTGGCCCCGGACGCGACAGAACGTTCCACTGCAACAAATAAAATATGTCCACGAAAACGCGCGAAGGGGACGATAGAGGGAAATTTCGTATACGAGACAAAGATAAGCTTAACCAGCGCGAAATTATGAGCGTTTAACTGTTTCTAGCTGTAGAATCTGGCACGGGCGCTTCGCCGGCTCGCCAGCGCGCGTTATTTACGAGGGGGTGGCCCGGCGCCCGACTCCCGCGGCACCCGAGATAGCGCCTTCCCCGGAAGAGCCGCCGCCGCGATCGCCGCGCGACAGATCCGCACCGCCCGCGCCGATCTAGCTCTTCCACCGACGACACTAGCTACACTCTGCCCTCCTATATGTCCTTGTGCCACCACAGTACCTCGCCTACACTCGTGCAGATTGCCAGCCCGTAACTGGCGCTTTAAACTACATTCCGACTTAAACTCTATTGGCTGCTCTATAGGACACAATTGTTCCGCTAACACGCGGCTGCTTTCTGGCGACCGAATATAAACGCTTTTCTATGTAAAGTTGCTGCGAGCATGTCTGTTGGTCTTGTTTATGATAGCATGAAACTGTATGTGATATATTTATGGTATGTAACTTCCACAATATAGCGACTTAATAACTTAGACAAAAAGTCAAGCTCAAGTAAGTATTCACCTTAGTATTTAATTACCAGCCTCATTATTACCATTATTATAGATTTTAATAAACTTAGTACTTATATACTTTAAAGGTAGATATACATTATACATACCAAAGAAAATAGAAAATAATGGAAGCATTACTTTATCATTTAAGTGAAAATATACGACACAAGGAAAAGAGAAAAATGTGCAAAAACCGTCTAGAGCATTATACCGCGCGTGGACCATTACTTTTAATATAAATAAAATAACAAAATATGAGCGTCCGGCCGGAGAGTGCCCCAAGACACTTTTATATTTCACGAGCGAACCTATTTTACTCAGCGTCACTATAGCCAATTATATTTTACTAGCATTGCCCACGGCTCCGCCCGCGTTGAGATGACCAAAAATCAAATTCTTAGGTTTTACATATTAGTATACTCTTACATTGCAGTTTTTGTATTTTTTCTCAGAAATGAGATATTTTCCCCCGGTAAAAGTATCCTATATGTTGACCCGGATAACCAGCTATCACCATACCAAATTTCATCAAAATCCCTTCTGTGATGCGGTAACAGACAGACAGACAGACAAAAATTCTAAAAACTATAGATTCGGTCCCTGTATCGATAATAATGTCTATTTCAATAAGATTTTTAAAAAAATATTTAATGTACAGATTCGGCCTGGTTATAATTTTATTATATCTATAGATGAATGCCAAAAAATCCAAGAACCGTGTAAACATTTACTTAACTTTACTCTTAAAATCACCCAGTAATTTATTTTATCTTAGAATATTGACGTCTATATGAAATACGTAAATGGCAAATAAAGGGTGTTTCTAATAATTACAATAGCACTTTCGAGTAACTTTAATATTTAACTTTTGTTTTATAAATATAATAAAAATAAAACCCTAATTTTATACATTTCACATCTAAACTCAATATCTTATAGCTTTATTTATTTTATCTATACTAATATTATAAAGAGGTAAAGTTTGTGAGTTCGTGAGATTGTGAGTTTGTGACGTTGTAGGGGGTAATCTCTGGATCTACTGAACCGATTTAGATGAAATTTGGCAAGAAGATAGTTTGAGACCCTGGGATAGACATAGTAGGTATCCTATGTCCATCCCAGGATGGATATTTTTATCCCGGAAATCATCCCTTAAGGGGAAGAAAATGGAGAATCAAGCTAGCGACGAACCCAAGCGAAGCAAGGGTGAGTCGCTAGTACATATATAAAATGATAATAATACTTTTTTATAGAATCGCATTAGCATAATTCGCCACCATTGAACGATGAAAACAACCCTTTAGAGGTTGAGACAAGTAAATAGTAATAAGGCACTAAGCCATGTCAATGTAGAGGGAAGCCCGCCAGCGTATAGCGCTCTCGTTCAGCGACCTGCGCGCACCTCGCAACGTTACTCAAGTGTTTCGTGCACACGATGACTCTACATGCGCTTCCGTGATGCGTGCCCATTGCAACCTTCTATCAATCAATGTCGAGCCTTAATGACTTAATTTTGACATCCTTGGCCTTCAAATTCCTCAGCGTAATCGTTTCATAAAGAAGAAAAACATACGATTACTGCCCATACCCACTAACCCTTCCACTATCATTGTAAATGATCGGCATGTCTCCGTTGACTTTGTTGTAATTATACTGGATATACCGACGACCTTAGTAGGCTTCGTCTACCGATATTGTTCATCAGAATTAAAACGCTTTCAGTCGTCAGAAATATAAAACGTTGAACGAGACGGAAATACGTATCTACAGAGACAACAATAAAACCGCGTGAAAATGGCAATAGTTATTCAGAGGGAGATATTAAAATGCATGGAAATAAATTCGGCGTCGCATTCAGCCGTACGATTCTAGGGGTGCAGTAAAAATAAACAGCCACGCTATTAGAACTCACTTCCATATTCAAATTTATGAATGCGTCCACACTGCTCGGCCGCCACTCACGTCACTCGCGACCGTCTCACTCGCCATTTTATACAACGGCAGAGCTCTCAAAAATTACTTAATAAAAATTATTTATAATTAGGTATTTCATAGGATAAATTACAATATTTTTATATTAAGTTCAGTATTACATATGCGTGTGCTGCACTCGATGTTAGATAGATATTTTATGATCATCGTGAAACAAACTAGGTATACCAAAGTATAAATTATAAAAGCTCGTAAATTGTACAACAAACAAAAAAAAATTATAAAATTATCAAAATCACTTACATAATGTTAAAATCAACAACAAATAAAATTAATAGACGAGAGACCATTGGCATTGAGCTGGAGCTGACGAGCGACGCGTGCTTTAGCTTAAATAAACAGACGTTTTCAAAAATTTGTGTATTTAAATTGAATGTGACTTGTGTTACTGAGCTATTTCTGTTTAACAGCCGCACTGATGGACCTGAAATAACACCTCCCGATAGTACCGTTCAGGGAACTCGCATTAATTCATATGGGATTAGGTGTCATCATAAACAGGAATTATTTAGTCAACTGAGGTTAAAAACAACAACTCGCTACTGTCTAATTAGTATACTAGTATAATACTACCCACCAGGGGCAAAGCGTCCATACTAGACGTCTTACCTAAAATTATTATATATATATATATATATATATATATATAAAAATTGAATATTTTTGGATCAGCTTACCTCATTGTATTGAAATATAAGTACCTACTTTAATTTTAATCTTATAGATTAATTTCATATAAATGACAATAATAGAAAGTCTATACTTTACCTACCTATAAATAATATGTAATTAACACGATTACTTAAGAAATTAAGTACTTAGATAAAAAATTAGTAACTTATTATAGAACAATACGTTTTTTTAACTAAGCTGATGAATATACTATGTCAATAAAATTATCATTTTTCGATAAAAATGATAATTCAAGTCAATCGATGTTGACTAGACCCAAAGAGACAATCCTCGTTTACCGTCATATGTAGAGCAGGGGTCATATTCACTGGTGGTGAGTCAAATATCACCTGTATATATAACGGAAGTTATGCTTGTCCGTTGATGGACGGATAAGGAAAAGGATGATTATATAACTAATTTTTCAGTTTTAGATAAAATTAGTATACTTTCATGTACCTATATTAAAGTGACATTTTATCAACATTAATATGTGATCTTTAGAATTCTATGAGAGATTCCAACTTGTGAAATCTTGAATAGAGCGAGGTCAACGTAATTGTGTAGTTATATAAATAGAATATATGTAGGTACCTACCTTTAAAAATAAACTTATTTTATATCTAATATCTATACGTTTAATAAAATTCTTATTGAAATAGACATTATTATCGATACAGATGCCGAATCTATAGTTTTTAGAATTTTTGTCTGTCTGTTTGTCTCTGAGAAATTTATATTAACCGTTAAAATACGTGAAAAAACGTATATATATTCTTATTATATATTATAACTATAACAAATATAAAATAAGAATATTTATTATATAATGTTTTTTTTCGATTTGTTACTAATGAAGTATTCCACTTTACGGATCCCCAATAAACGCAACTAGCAATTTTATTCGTACATTGACAGTGCCACGTCGATGAATATTCAACGCATATAGAACAATGATATAAAAACGGCAGCAGCTATTCTTCCAACATTATTAATTTGATTTGCGTAGGCATATTGCGAGCTACATTTTTGAATTGTTTATCTGTGTATATTACAAACATGCATGAATAGATGTTAATGCCCAATAATATTTTGTTCAGAAATATATATTCATTTATGTTACATACACAAACTGGTAGAGATTTTTATTTCAATATTTTTTTATATGTCAAAATCTATTTAGTTAATTTTTGAATTTAGAATATAATTAAATTTATATTTAGAAATTTTTAATAAGTTGACACAATAGCATCGATAGTTATGTGAGATAAATGACTCTATAATAATAAAATAGCATATTACATACATACCTACCTAGTATAAAAATGTTTGTAGGTGTTAATTACGATAATTACGAATATTTTTGAACCATACTATTGTGACATATTATTCAAAAAAATCTTAAAGAGTATTTTATCAGGGTTTATTAGTTAAAAAAATATGCTCCCAATTAATTAATATTAACTGCAGCAATAATAAAAGTGTTAGGTCTACTCAGAACGAGTCCCACCAGGGAGTCTCGCAGCATGTCGTGGGACGCGATGACTGGCAGGTTCAGCCAAATTGCTTTTATCACATTCATATCGGCCTCAGATTCGGCCTCGTCTCAGTCACGGCGTCGCACTCACACGCGGCCCATACGCGCAGTATATCGCTCCTATTTAATTTAAACCACACAAAGCACTCGACACGGCTCCCGGCCTCCGCTTTTTGATAACGAACGCGCAGTTTTAAAAATTAAATCGGTAGCTCGAATGCATCTAGTTACGTATGTCAATGTCGAAGGATTTGATACGGTTTTTTTTCTTCACAGAGCCGGTATGATGAGTCAGGGATTATTCAGGAATTTCGGTAATTAATCAAATAGGTACATTTAGCTACACATCCCTTCATCAAAGTTAATTACATTTTTTAACTTTGATCATAATATATCTATTTATAAGAATTATGAAAATCGTAAGCCTATCAAAAGAGTATGTAAGTAACTAACTACTTGAAATTAGATATATTACAGAAAAATATATTTCAATATACTACACATGCGACATAAACAGAGCGAGAGGTCGCTTAAGAAACATAACAATACGGTAGAGAAAGACACAGATCAATAAGAGCATAAGCTTTGCACGAAATAAAAAGCAATGTAGCAATTGACAAACAAAGGATTATAACTTACAAAGTGTAGCTTCAATTAGCGAATGTGGGAGGCTTCACGGGGCGAGTGGCGACCGCCATCTAGCGGGCGTCAGTGCCGCCCACCGCCGCCTCGCGCCGGTCCTCGGGCCTAGCCACATATCACTTATAAATATGAGGCGTTATGATTATGAAAATATGCCCCGCCCCGAATATGGAATATGGAGGAGGGGGTCTCGTGCAACGCGTGCGAATGGACGAAGTTTGATTTATGAGTCGAGTGCGGCCCCGCCTCTCTGTCATAACCGTGTACCTGGTGCGCGCGCGGCCGCCCGCCGCCCGCCGCCTCGCGCTCAGTCCCGCTTCAGATGGCGAGAGGAGCGGCCGGCCGCACCTCGGGTACGTTAGCTCCGCGCACTCCGACCACGACTCCGTACGACAGAGCCGAGTAGCCCGCGAGTGTCCCTCACCGAGCCGCCAGCTCGGCCGCTACGCCGCTGGCAAGCCTGCCATGCGCCGGCTCTAGCCCAGCGCGACCACCATGCCGCGCATCAAGCCCGCCTGCGTCCGACGCGTCTCCATCGGTACTTACTATTCTACGACCTTCCACACCACATCACACACTAAGATGGTTTAAAATATGTGCAATTATACGTAGCGTTCTTTACGGGCTGTGATAGATGTTCGGAGTTTTGCTCGACGCGAAATCCGCTAAAAAATAAGTTAAATAGCCACAATAAAGTATTCCATAAATAAAGTGAGCATTAAAAGCGCTCTCGACGTGGTGAGTAAATAGTGCAGTGAAACTCGACACAACTGAGTTTTATGTGGAAAAGTGCGGTAGGTAGGTTTGGAGAGCTTATAAATATAGGCAAGTAATAAGTTTAGTGATTCAAGTTAAAAGATAACTTCAGCGTTGGTATTAACTTAAAATTTTCATAGATATGCTTACTTATTTTCTATTCAAACTTTTGCTTTGTTATTGAAAGACCCATTTAAAATTTTTGTAAATGATAAATTACTTTAATAAAGAAAACTTTATCAAATGTTTTCTATTACTTGATATTTTGCATTACTTATTAAATAAATATCTCATTATTCTCCGAGATTAGTTAAACATTTTTTAAGACTAATGTTTGCTTTAAAATGTGTATTTAAAAATCTAAATGTTATACATACTTGTACAATCAAATATAAACATCTGTAATGATAAATTGATAAATGGCAAGAGTGCGGCCCTGCCTTACAATTTTCTACTTTAAACTTTTCTGCTTCTACTAACTATGTACCTACCTATAAATAATCTGATTCCATTAATAATCACCATTCAGTAAGAGTAAAAAATTAAGGCAATAAATTAACCAAGTCGTTTCATTTCTTGCCATGTTTAATTGTTAATAAACATAAAAGTGCACTTAACATTGGAATTCCTAACAATTAATTATTCATGTATCTGATATATTCATTTAACCTTCATATATTGAAGATGATTGAATTGCTTCGAGGTCTTTCTTTACTATAGAGTTTTCACCTATTTTTTTAATAGATATGTATTATATATAACATAAAAATTAAAAATTGTTATAATGTAAAACAATCACGTCATTAAATTCTGGTATTTACTTAAGATTAATTTTAACGATGGCGTTCTTACATACACGACTGTAATAGTTAGTGAACATTTTAAATTATACTTTTTGAGTACAAAAATAAAGCTGAAATTGTTATAAGCGACGGTTAAGTAACACATTCTGATAAAAGCTTTAAGTGGCTCTATATTAGTAGAGCGACAGGCCGTCAAAGTTTATTAATCTAACCGCTACAATGTTTTACGACCGTTCTATAAATAATATAGAAATTTTTTATCTATTAATGCTTGAAACATGGTTCCTAATCATATTCTTTATGAAATATATTTAAGCAATCAGTATGTTTGTTTGTCTTAATGTAATCTCTGAGAACTTGTTTAAGAGCCGGTTTTATTTCGTATTAAAATGAAATATTATAGTCTATGCATATTGGCGTCCATTTACCTTGAATGGAGAATAATAAATTTTCATTAAAGTATATATATAGTTAATAGAATAAATAATAAACTTTCCAAAAATGCTTTAATTAGGTAAATAATCGTATTTTATCATCGTTTTCCTTTACACGAACTTTACCTACATATTAAAATCAACATATATAAATATACTACTTTGTTAATAAGCTCTTAAATAACAATAAATGTCTCGTATGAAAATATTAAAGCTGAAAAACATATAAAATATTTTATAGTAATAATTATAACGACTCTACATTGGACTATAAACGATTCAAATGTCATTATTTTTTATGAGATTTAGTTTGTTATTAATATTTTTCAAATACAAGTTAAATTTAATATTGACAGTGCTTGCAGTTTGAGTAATACAAATTAATTGTGTTTCTGAGTAAACGTAGTCCGGTACGGACCGGGTTGCCGTCTTTGACGCGGCCGCACTCGCCTAACAAAGCTCAAAGCCAAATTGCGATAAACACACACTTCTAATCTTCCTTCTTACAAACTAAGTATTAACCGCACCGGTATCTCGCTACAAATGAGTCGTTTAAGCCCTTACCGCAAGATTATCCCGGATTATTATAAATGTTTTGTGTCGGTGTTCAGTTTTCGGTTGCATATAATGTAAACATACCAAATAGTGCAATAGACCATCTTACAATCGTCAATTTTAAACTTTTCTATTAAATATGAATTCGAAATGTTGTCGAATACGAATACATAGTACCTACCTGAAACATAATATAAAGAATGATGCTTCGACGACATGTTTGGCTCAGTTTGTAGTGACCCTACTTGCTGCGCCAGCGGTCGCGGGTTCGAGTCCCGCTGGGGGCATTCGTTTGTGTGATGAGCACGAATGTTTGTACTCTAGTTATGGGTGTTTATATTTATAATATGTATGTATTTAAAGTTATATATTTATAATGTATCAACTATCTGGTAACCATAACACAAGCCTCGTAGCTTACCATGGAGCTAGATGGTGTTGTGTGTTAATGTCCCAACATATTTATTTATTTATGCCATTAATGTGGACAGTGAAAGTAGGAACATCAATGCGATAAGCAAATGTATGCAAGCACATGTGGAAATATTTATAATTTAAAAGCTTTAATTTTATGATTCTTAATATACGAATACGATACAAATATATTCTTCCTTAAAAACAGTAGTTCATACGACAATATTACAAACAACTTATTAATATTTATTTCTAACGTTTAACACAAGTATTATTTTTACATAAATATGTAAATGTCAGTAAAAAAATGGAATAAAAATGTTGAAATAAATAGAAAAGTGATACTGATATTTTTATACCTATTCACATATGAATTATAACAATGGATGATTAGTGATGGCCCAATACCAAAGGTTAAATAGATTTCAGTCACATTGAATATAATATACTTGATAATAGGTAACATGAATTTTCAATAAAGTGACGCTCATACTAGATAGTAAAAAATATAACTCAATTATCATTTTCATTATTGAAAACAACAAAATGTATACGATCGAATAAATTTTGTTTACTTTGAATTGACTTAAAAATAATTAAATGAAGGTATTTACTCAAATTTCTGTATAGCAAAGCAGAAAAAAAAAACAAATAGATCAAAGATTTTAAGGCAATCTGTTAGCATACGTGTTAATAAATTTTCATATATCTATATCTATATATATAAGAATAACACTAAATACAGGAAATGTTACATTTATATGTACTCTTAAGTTGCTTACTTCCGTATTTATTGCAATATGGTGTTAATAAAAATATAGTTTTGTAATTTTACTATACATTATCTTCTACTACGCTTGCTTTTTACCATAGTCTAGAAAAAATATAAATAAGCTATGTCATTAGGTACTAGAAAAACTTCAAATGTTAGGTACATTTGAAGTTTCTCTACATTGGTTAAAAAAGGTGTACATAGAGTACATAAATGCCATAAGGAATTTGACCTTCGTTAACTTTCTTCGTAAATTTTTTATATGTTTTTCATTTTACAATAGATAGAAACGAAATAATGATATTCATTGCTATATAAAAATAATCATTATTTTAATTTAAAAAGAAAAATACCTTAATCATGGGTGATAAATATTTAATTTATATACATATAATAATTATAATGTTTTTTTTTAATTAAAATGTATACCTAACTTTGCTATTTAAAAAGCATTATTGGTACTAGGTATATAAGCAATTGGCTTTACATATTTTTATTTGTTTAAATTTAATACTTTCTTAGATTTACGCGAATTTAAAGTTTACATAAAACTCAGAATCATTACTAAAAAATTATGACTCTATCGAGAGTTCATTTTTTCAGTTTGATTATAGAAGTATTATAAAGAATGAATAAAAAAATTATAGCTTAAATATCCTATGATAATGCAGGAAATGGAAAAAGTATTGCAACATTATTTTTATGTTAAAGGTGGCTTATTCTGCGGTCGTCTACATGTGTTTAATAATTTCAGGTATACGTGCGTACTATTTATATGATGAAACCACCACAGCTTGGTTATTGGATATTTAATTTAACACTTTACCATTTTCCATTTTAATACATTTATTGAAATTCTACTTTTATCTTTTCTAATCCTATCGGTCTACGTACAAAATATACTTACTACTTAGGTATATGAGCAAATTATATATTAATCGATGTTGGTACTACGTTTAGAATGTTTTGTTAGTTGGATACATGTATATAGGCCATTTTTTTAAATATTTTATAATTTGAAATAGCAAAATTAAATAAAGGTTTTATTTAAAATTAAAATTGCAACATTTACCTCTATTTAACCGAGGTGCTCGCCATGTAGGGTTGCCTGCAACGATCAAAGCTTTTCTCTTTAAATATGCTTTTTTTTTCACTTCATAAAACATTTCAATAATAGCAATTCTCCAAAATTAGTAATGTCTGCAGTAGATTGATATATTATTAGGGGCATCAATCTAATATATCAATAAATAAAACGTAAATTAAATTTCAAAGTCAGCAATCAGTAGGTACATGTGTATATTTTTCCTTAATCTATACATACAATAAAATTGTAACTAAGCTGAATCTGTACATTAGATATTTTTTGGAAAATCTTATTGAAAATTTGAAATAAACATTATTATCGATACAGAGGCTGAATCTATAGTTTTTAGAATTTTTGTCTGTCTGTCTCCCTATCTATTTTTCTCTCTGAATTTTTGTCTCCCTGTCTGTTACCGCATCACAGAAAATCCACTGGAGGGATTTTGATGAAATTTAGTATGGTGACAGCTGGTTATCCGGGTCAACTTAAAGGATAATTTTTACCGCAGGAAAATATTGGATTTTTAAGAAAAAATACAAAAACTGCAATGTAAGAGTATACTAATATGTAAAACCCAAGAATTTGGTTTGTGGTCATCTGAACGCGGGCGGAGCCGCGGGCAAAGCTAGTAATTATTAAAAATATGAAATATGTATTTTAAATCAGTATAAATTATGAAGATTTGAAATATTACTTATATTTTCGTAATTACATCTA